CTATAATTCACACTGCACCTTGCAACTAAACGACATTTAGTATACTGTCAAGAATACACAACTTGGACCTCCTTACTAAATGGAAAACCTATAATCGCATTTTCGGTGAAATTTGTTGGGAAGGTATTTATCTACTTATAATTCGATTACTGTAAAAAATTCTTGGAATTAAAATAAAACAAAATTGGCAAATAGGTACTTATTAAAAATAATCTTAAGATATGGCTATGTAATCTTTAATACACAGGGCTTTTGGCCTGTCCAAACCTTTTTCTATTGTTCTGTACATCTTATGTTTATAAAGGACCAATAAAAGACCCAAAACTTGTAATAGTTCAGGTACATTTATTACAATTTTAGGAAATATTTAGATTATTCTGTAAAAATATTTAAAATGACCGTACTAAGTTTTGCATTAGAAATGCTGTTTTATTACTCTCTCATACATAAAAATAGACTATAGGGAGTGGCTGAAATGACAAAATTAGTATATTAAACACCGAGGTGGAAAGAGTTTCATTCCTGCCGTGAGATTAGTTAGATCACCGAGACGCGAAGCGTCGAGGTCAGCTATGATCTCGAGACAGGAATGAAATTTCCTACCAAGGTTTGTAAACTATTTTATTTATAACCATCATATTTCGATCAAAGTTAATAAATCCCCTTTTCGTTCTGAACATACCTAAAATATTACATTTAACGACAAATTACCAAGCGCGCGGTTTTCTCAGAATAATCAAGTAAATATATTGTTACTGTGATTAAACAACTGTCACCAATATAAATAACGTGATACCACAGCATCAAATACCGGACACGAAAATGACAAAAATGACAAAAATTCAATTACAGAATAATAAAAAAAGGATCTAAAACATTTAAAAATTAATTACACACCCCATAGAATGTACTAAAGGTAAGCCAAAAAACAAACTAAAAACAATATAAACTATATACATATATAAAAAAACACAAAAAAAAAATTTCTTTTCTTGTAGAACAACTGTAAAAAAAAAAAAACAACTGAAGAAGGCCCTGAGCAGGGCCGAAAGCTTTATTTTACTTTAACACGAGTTTCATTTCCTCAACAAACACCTAAAACCCAAGAACTACAAGAAAAAATATAAATAAAGGTGTAAGAAAAAAAAACTTTAGAAAAGGAGGTCTCCTTTCATAAAGTAACAATATAAATAAATGTCAGATAAAGCCGGATATTAAATTCGCGAATAATAAATATCAATAAGTAGTTTGTTGTATTTTAGTTCATTGTTGTTTTTTATTGTTTGCCATTAAATAGGTATTATAAAATTTGTCAAAAAAATGTGTTATCACATGGAAAAATAAGTAATCAATTGTTTATTGGTTCACTATCGCAACCAAATTAATTTTCATGCACCTCCGTTTACGATTGTAGACCCCCATTTTTTATTACGTCCAACGTAGACCCCCATTTTTTATTACGCCCAACGTAGACCTCCATCGAGTCTCCCGTGTACCTCTGGAGGTCCACCTGGACCACTTTGGGAAATGCTGGATTAAATAGTCAATGTGAGGTGTATAATTATTTACTTATTTTGCTAAAAAAAAACCCTTAAAAACTAGACTGCCCTTTAACTATTATATATGAATATGCTCTCAAGTTTCACTAACCTTAATCAACTTATACTCCTATAAAAATTTGCCAGAAAAAATGGACATTTGGTAATAATTGATACCTGTATTTGAGGATGCGGAAAGAGCATGTCATCGTGACGGTTATTCCCTATTCTCTAGTAATCGCGTTTCTACTAAAATCCAAAACCACTGGGAAATGAAATCCGCAACGAGCATTTCTCGAACACAGTTAGCCGAGAGGTCAAACCGATTTTAATGACTGGCTATAATTATAGTCAAATCGATCCGTCCAAATAGCAGGATGGCTAAATTTTATAAAATAAAATAAATTTTTAATATTCGCCCTGTATGGGGTTGACTGAAATTGACAATCCTACCACTGATGGTAAGAGTTTTCTTTCCATCTTTTTCTTTGAGTTGACATTGATGTTTCCATTAAAAATGTTTTGTGTACTAATAATAATAAATTTATTTAAATTGGGTACTTATTAAATTAATAAAAGAAGAAAATTGTTCAACATACCTTTTTTTCTAGCGTCTAATGTATAGATAATTTTCTCCCACAATTTTAAAATGAATTAGACTTGATTGAAAAGTACATAAATTTTGATTCGTATTTTATTCGATATTATAATTAATAATTTTGATTGGTATCTTGTAAGCCACGAAAGGTTTTAATAAACAAAACTGAATGTTACAATACAGAGAGCAGAGAGTAGCAGAGAGTAGCCTAGAGTAGCAGAGAGTAGCAGAGAGCAGAGAGCAGAGAGCACAGAGCACAGAGCAGAGAGCAGAGAGCAGAGAGCAGAGAGCAGAGAGCAGAGAGCAGAGAGCAGAGAGCAGAGAGCAGAGAGCAGAGAGCAGAGAGCAGAGAGCAGAGAGCAGAGAGCAGAGAGCAGAGAGCAGAGAGCAGAGAGCAGAGAGCAGAGAGCAGAGAGCAGAGAGCAGAGAGCAGAGAGCAGAGAGCAGAGAGCAGAGAGCAGAGAGCAGAGAGCAGAGAGCAGAGAGCAGAGAGCAGAGAGCAGAGAGCAGAGAGCAGAGAGCAGAGAGCAGAGAGCAGAGAGCAGAGAGCAGAGAGCAGAGAGCAGAGAGCAAAGTTTAGAGAGCAGAGAGCAAAGTTTAGAGAGCAGAGTGCAGAGAGCGGAAAACGTAGAGCGGAGAGCAGAGAGCTGAGTTCAAATAGCAGAACGGTTTCAAAAAACAAAATCATACTCCTCTTGACTATTAAAATGTATATATAGGAAATATCGTAAATAAAAATCATACAACGAGAGAACTCTTGGAGATTATAAACCCTATAAATTATCGATTTAAAAAAATAAAGTTTGCATTTCAGCATATGTACACACTTTTAATTCTGAACACCAATTCTGATATATTAGCTTATTTAATCCCGAAGCAAAAGTATTATTTGTATTCAAAGAGTGCAGTCGCTTTTTTTTTAAACTGAATTATGTAGATACAGATATATGGGTATAGAGGCATTAGTGTGTAAGCCGCAACTGTCTACCTATTTCTTACCCTTTAAAGGAAATAAACAACTAACCTCTAAATGTGAAAAATCGTTGCAATTTCTCATCAAGCCACGTTGCTATCACAGAGGAATTTAAAAAAGTGTTGCTGTTCGATAAGACTATGTAAACAAAGTATTTTTAGTGAATTGTTTTATAGAGAGTTTAGCGAAGTGACATAGTTAACATAGTGACGGGTGGTAACTAGGCAAATCTGCAAAAATATGTAAGGGGTTCTATTGATTTTTATCAAGAATACAAAAGAAAAATAAACTATTGATAATGTTATAGGGTTTTCTTTTTTTTTTGTTTTCATACGCTTCAGTTCATTCTATCATCTCGTTTCTAGCTTACCCCGGTGCTTTGCACCTCGGTTATCTATCTAGACCACTCTAGGGGGTCCAGGGGTCCACGGGAGACTCGACGGGGGTCTACGTTGGGCGTTATAAAAAATGGGGGTCCACAATCGTAAGTGAAAATTAATTTGGTTTCAATAGTGAAGCAATATACTTTGTTTAAATCATACTATTTATAAAAACCGCACACCACTGGAGAACAGTTAATTTTACCTGCTACTGAAGAGGTTTTAAAAACTGTTCTGCACAAATCTTCATTTGACATACTCAAAAGAATTCCTTTGAGTAACAACACTGTGCAAAGACGTATTGATGAAATGAGCTCTGATGTTGAAAGTTTCTTGTGTGATTATCTACGAACAAGTCATTTTTCTATTCAACTGGACGAGTCAACTTTACTTGGCAATGAAGTATTATTATTGGCATATATTCGATTTATTATGGACAAATACATTCATGAAGAGCTACTATCAAGATTTTTATTTACTTTTTGACTCAGTTTTAGTTTTTGGAAAGTAAAGATCCTGATTAAAAAAAAACTTTATCAATTTTAAAAAATTTAATGTCCTCAACTTACAAGAATTTAATTTAATTAATATCGTCAAATCCAGAAGCGTATACCATTGCACCACCTTGCCTTTTAGTATATAAGCATATTAGACATTAACCTAAGATTTAAAAAGTATTGTATGTATGGTAATCCAAAGAAAGCCCGAAAACATTATTTTGTGTATGCTAACAGACACTCGTGAATGGGTTCGGGGACTATTTCTACGAAGAATCTTGAAAGTTATAGAAACCATTGTTATTATTTGTATCCGTAAAGTAATTAAATTTTTTACATAATATAAATGCAACCAGAAAAAATGACTTCGTATGAAATCCATTCAATACATAATCGCGTAAATTTTCATAGCTAAATGGAAAAATTTTAATGGTTTTGGAATTTTTGTTTTTACATAAAATCTAAGCTCTGCTTTCTAACTCCATCAGCACTAAATATTAAACATTCCATTTCACTAGGTAATGCGAGTTTTTCGAAGTTTATTACTGTGAAAATTGAGCAGTTAAAATTTCTTTTTATACGACCGAGTATTGTCGTTTTACGCTTCATCTGGGTGATATCATTTTTAGCAGGTATTGTACAAAAATCATTGTGCAAAAAAAAACTAGTAATGCGTCATGCCTGGGTAATTAAAGCTCTCAATATACTTACAATTTTATATCCAATAACTGGTTCATTTATAAAATTCCAATTAAAATAAACGAAGAAGAAACTTGATATTCCAGTTACTTTTCCCAATAAGTATGGTACTCTGTTAAGGTTTAAATGGACCCGAATTTTTTTCGTTTCGCGAACGCGAGATGGCTTTACAAGCAATGTGTTCATATTTTATGAATATAGAAAACTACATCCCCGACAATGCGAGTCACAAATCTTCTTTACTGGTTGTCTACATTGCCTGTTTACAATAGTGCCTTTGAGTATATTTAATTTTAATTTAACTTTTTGTTTCAGATATGTATTTCATTCTACTTTGAAGAGACTCGGCCACTTCTGGGACCTATTTATGCTTTAGCATGTACCTATCTGACTTATTCTCTAATGCCAAACAGACTCAAAGATGCTCTGCTATCTGGAACAATTCTGGCCTTAGCGGAACTTTTTCTGTTAGTTTACGTTGGGAAAATGGCTGGATTTCCAGAGGTAAATATCCCCATCCCATAATCTTAAAAATTTAATGTATTTTCTAATAAATTCGATATCTATTGTTCTAGGTCATCAGCTGCTTTATTATCCTTCTATGTGGCAATATCGCAGGAGTATGTACTCACTATCCTAGGGAAGTAGCCCAAAGAAAAGCGTTTTTAGAAACTAGACAGTGCATCGAGGCTAGGTTGAAAATGCAGAGGGAAAATCAACAGCAGGTGAGTCATGGAATTTCGTATTTTTTATTTTAAAAATAAAAACACTAAGGCCTTTTAAGATTACATGTTAATTAAATTAATTAAAATTCACACTCGATTCATTAAAATCCTATCTAAAATCTCCCATTCAAATATTTATCAACATTTTTGATCTCTACTGTTTATACCCCGTGAGGGCATTAAATAAAACCCTTCAAGCCCTTAGAGCCCAGAACGGGTCTTCGGGGGCCAATCTACCCAACCGATATCGGGACATATAATATAAATTCGATGAAGGGGTTAGGAAAACGTGACGGGTCCAAGTACACTTGTTGAGCTAAATTTCTGTTTAGACAAGGGACCGGTTCCACCAACCAGATTTGCTTGTAAAATTTAAGCAGCTATAAATTGATTCTGGGTTGAAATTAAACAGTGTTGGAGATAGGTTAAAATTCAGGAATTATTTCTTAGAGCTCTATTACTATCCGAAAAGTATATTGCCTAACAAAATGTCTTATTTGACGACGTTGATCTAAAATCGCTTAGTGTAGGAGTACCTGATAACCAGTGCTTAGTAGTATAGAATATGTACGTTCCAGCACAGTACACCTTTTTTAAAAAACTAGCCAAAATTTTATGAAACTGAAGGAATATTACAACAATTTTTTTACAATTCTTCAATATTTCCACAATTTTTTATTATTTCAAGATCGACGACTCGTAACATTTTACAGCACTTACTCATGACTGACATTCAAAATTACTTAAAAAATCCATATTTTAACAAATTTTTAAAAACCAAGTTCAAGGGTCACGTGACGTCATAAAAATTAAAATTATAAAATTAATAAATGGAAGTAATTAAAAAATATTAAGTTACTAGGGATCTAAATTGGTATATTAATGATTAGATTCTTTAAATTCTACTTTATTTTAATTTATCTTCTTTCCCTTTATAAACAAATAACAATTTAGATGAATTACAACTTTCTAAATTTTTTTTAATAAGATCTTTATAACTGTCAGGTAAGAAAATAGTAAACGAATCATCCAATGTAACAACAGCTTTGTTACCATATTTAGTAGAAATGATTCTAAAATTTGATATTTTATATTCTTGACCAATTGTTAGTTCATCTATTTTTTTAGTTGGAAGTATTGTGAAGCTGTTAAGTTTTTTGACAGGATCCATTTTTAATTTGTCTAATTTAATTCTATGAAAATATTTAAATATTTTTTTGTTGTTATTATTTATATATAAAAAAAATAATAATACATTTAATTATTTTATACTAAAATTTTTTTATATATAAATGGCTGAGAAAATAAGATGTGAATGTGAAAAAATAGTAGCAAATAAACATTCATTTCAATATCACTTAAAAACTGAACTTCATGAAAACAACTTAAATAAAGTAAGAAAGTGTAATATTTGTTTAATTTTCATAAAACTAAAATATTTACAAACTGTACTACATATAATTTAAAACTTGTGTGAGTAAAATTATGAAGGAACGGTATCAAAATAGATTAAAAAACAAAAATAAAGAAAAAATAGAATGTGAATGTAATAGAACAATTTTAGCAAAACAGAAAAACACTTAAATACTGATTTTCATAGAAAAAGAATTAGTTAAGTAAAAAAACGTAGTTGTTGAAAAGAAGAAAAATCATATGATAATTTTTATAAAAATAAACATACATACGATGGACTATCTTCTTATTGTAAACTTTGTTTTAAAGAGAAAATAAATGAAAAAAGTAAAACTCACACAGATAAAGTAGAAACTAAAACTTAAAAATAATATTTAAAAAACAATAATTTTTAAATTTATATAAAACGATATTTTTAAAATGTATGTAATTTTTAACTATTAAATATATAAATATATATAGGAAATTGGACCCCATGTGTTTGAGTTTTCATATCTTTTGTTTCTTTTATTTCTGGTAAAGGTAAAGCTGGAATATTTGAAATTATTTTTTTATATCAATATCTGTGTTATTAACAGCCTGCTCAACTTTTTGTAATGTATTAATAATAGGAAGAAATTGTTTTGTTTTACCTCTAAACCACTCCAATCATTTAGAATTTCTTTTTTAAATGTTTTATTCAAGCCCCTTTATATATTTTGTAGTTGTTTAGCTTGTTCAACTGTGATACTTTTAGAAGTTTCAGGAACGTTGATTACATCTTCTTTATTTTGAAAAATTTCAGAATGATTGGGTTTCTTTTGATTATTATGTTTTAATTCACTTTTTAATTTTTCTCTGATTTTTTTATATTTTTTCTCAATTCTCTTTATAAAACGTCTCTGAATATTTTCTGTTTCCATTTATTATAAAAATATATATATTTAAGTAACAGAAAATTTAATAAAACATGGTATAGACTATAACATACGTAACGTAACGTAGAACGTAACGTAGAACGTAACGTAGAACGTAACGTAGAACGTAACGTAGAACGTAACGTAGAACGTAACGTAGAACGTAACGTAGAACGTAACGTAGAACGTAACGTAGAACGTAACGTAGAACGTAACGTAGAAGGTAACGTAGAACGTAACGTAGAACGTAACGTAGAACGTAACGTAGAACGTAACGTAGAACGTGACATAATGTAACGTGACATAACGTAACGTGACATAACGTAATGTGACATACCGTAACGTAGAACGTAACGTGTTGATTTCATTATGAAACGTTTTCAAACTTGTTGTAAAATTTATTGTTTTTTAAATCGATGCAAACGAAACCGTAGTCATGTTCCCACCCTTGTTTACAAAATGCATAAAAGTTTTTAAACGTCATTTCTGTTATAAAATCTTCCCATATCCAGCAAATATCTCTTGCAATTCTTGATAAATTGGTTGATCAATTGATTTTGTAAAAATTAATAAATTAAATAATTAAAAAATAAAAGAATTTATTGAGAATATTCAGTTCTTTCCCAGAGAAAAATATTTAAAGCAAGCTGAAATTAATGGATACAATTATATTTAATTTGTTGTATTTTTTAATTCAGCTAGTTGTCTTTTCGTTACTAAATCATATTCGTCTACTGCATCAAGAGCTTTTACAGTTCTACCCTTTATAGAAATATATGTTGGTGTTATGTTAAGTCCACTTAATTTGTTTTTGACAGCTTTCATATTTAACTCAATGTGTTCAATTCGTTCATCTAATTCTGTTAAATCATTATCTGTAATATCTGTTACAATATTCTTTAAATATGTGTTTAATTGTTCCAGTTCTTTAATTTTCTTATCTATTTGATTAGTGGGGGCCCCAGATTTTTTTAGTTCTTCAATTTGTTTATTAAGTTAGCAATATCTAATTGTGTTAATTTTTTCAGACTATTCTCATTAAGTCTTTCTAAATTTCGTATTTTATTAATAAAGGTAGTTTGATTGTTTTCTAGATTAATTATTCGATTTGTTAGTTCCTCTAAATCATCAATAGTTATTTTAATAACAGCTTCTTCTAATTCTCGGTTTAATTTATTTAAATCTTCTGTTTTTAATTTGAGTTCTTTAATTTTTTTGTTGATGTCATCTTGAGATGCTCCTTTTAGTTTTAGTTTTTCAATCTCTTTTTTGAGGTCTTAAAGTTCTTGATTTTTAGAAACAATATTTGGATTTTTACTTATTCTTCGATTTTGTTTTCTCGTTACTATATTAATCTGATCGCTTAAACTGTTAATTTGAGTTTTAACATTATTTATTTCAGTTAATGGTAAACCATGTTGTTTTAATTGATCTATTTCCACCCTAATATTTGAAAGATCTATATTAGAGTTCGAATTAATTGGAAATCCATAAACATATTCCTTCTAAACTAAATAAAAATATATCGGAATTCAACAATTTTGAAACTAATTCTATGGAAGATATTGGTTTTGAGACAAACATGTATAAACTTTTTGAAACTGAAAATATTGATAATAATTCACAAAAAATCAACACTAATATATAAAAATAATTTACGAGACAATACAATATCTCAAAATAAAATGGACGAACTTAATACTTCAGAAACTGAATTTTTAGATATAAATATAATTGATATCGACAAAATAGTTCATGAAGAGTTAGTAGATTATTTTCCTAAAATAGATATTATAGACAAATATCAAATCGTCGTAATTATACTAAAATTCATGAACAAAATTCCGAAATGTAAAAAAAAGAAAATTGATAAAAAAAAAAGAAATTCCGATGGAAGCCTATTCGAAATATCATTCCACTCTTTTCGAAACTTAAGGACGAAGGAGTTACGTATTGCTAAAATAGCTATATAGACAATAAATGTAAATAAGTTTATTTTTTTTGTGTGTCATCAGCATCAACTACCAGGGTTATTTCGCATCGTGTTCTATGTAGGCTTTGTTACCGTTTCCCAGCGCCACTTTAGGAACAGCACTGTTAATTAAAACCCAACAGTGAATGGTCGAGTGGGGAATCCTACCAAGGCATTATCATTCTTTTATAAATTTTCGTAGAGATAAACAATTGGTGTGGATTAAATGTAAAATATATCAAAGACGTATTAAAAGTACTTTTAATTTTTTTAAAAATAATTTTCCATAAAGAAATTTAAAACGATGACTACTAAGAACTGTAATAAATTGTTTTGCCCAGAATCAATACCCAATAAATGACTCATTACCCAAAATTCTCCTAATTTATTGTCATTTTTCATCTCCTGACACAGAAGCATTTCAATAATTTACTTCAAAGTGAAAACCCCGTTTCAAATATTGATTTCATCGACAATAAAACTGTATAAATTTAAAAAAAGAATATTTTAAAAAGATTTGCATAACGTAATTTGTATTTTGTTTCAAATTTTTCGCGAACTTGATCAGTGCTTCCTTTCTTAAATACGATATTCTCATATTACTTACGAGATAGGTATTATGCATAAAGAAATAAAAACTTTTTGAACACAATACTTTATTTCCAGGAACGCCTGCTACTGTCAGTGTTGCCGCGTCACGTTGCCATGGAAATGAAAGCTGACATTGCCGGACAACCGAAGCAAGAACAGTTTCACAAAATTTACATACAGAAACATGAAAACGTGAGGTAAGTCGCTTTTATAATATTTATACTAGTTAGAAGCATTTTAAAACCTTTATTATTATCTCAATCTACAAATAAGTAGATAAAACATTTATTTGTAATTATAGAATAATTAGTGTAATAAATAATTATCCTCCAAGGGCAAACTCCTATCAAAAAAGTAACGAGAAACGCTTGATTTTCAACGAAAATCCAAAAGCTGATTAAAAGTATTAAGACGTTGAATTTTTCAGTTTGTGATGTATTGATGTTACTTAGGCTGAACCACTTTAAATATCTTCACACTTATATCATTGGTTTTCAAGGTTCATTGATCGTCTTTTGATTGGGCTTTGCAAATTGTTTGAACAATTTAATTTAATATAGAAATAGTCAGACGCTTCTCGAATATACCAGAACAAGCGGTACGTGACGTTGAGTCATAGAGATGGAATTCTAGGATATTCCACATCGTCTAAAATCTTCTCGTACAGAGTTGGACTTGGTATAAATTGTGATTTAGTGCCTAAGTATTATATAAATTGTAAACTAAACACCTGAGAATATGAAACGAAGACAGTTTAAAACGATCTGAAATAGGTAAGTCCCAAAAATGTTTTGCAAGGCAAAGTTTTTTTATTAACAACTTACCCTTTACTATGACGGGATTAACCAATCCTAATGGATCAGAACCATAGCCCTCACAAGGTCTAGATACCGCATCTTAAAAGCATTTTGACCCCCATATGATGGGCGCCATGATAAATAAATGTCAATAAATTTTAAGTTGGCACTACTGACAAGACAGAATCGGCGCAAGTTTAGTAATAAGCGTAAGATCGGCGTTCGACGTATATAATCGATTTTATTATCTGTTGTGTTGTTTATTTTGTTCTTCTAGTAAAGGTTTTATTTAAAACATTATTTTTTAGTTTAGTCGTTTAGTGTTTTATTTTAATAAAAAACATTTGTGGTTTGGTGTTAAATTTTTACAGGATTTTCAAAATCTCTTTTTGTTTTGTACGTGAATGTAACAATGCATCTAACGGTAGAAGATACAAGGAAGGAATAACATTTCATGTGTAAGTTTTCACAAATATTTGTGTATTTACAAAATCAAATAATTTGTATGTTTTGTTGTAGCATACCAAAAAATGTTAGGAAAGAATAACTGATAGCCATAGGAAGACCATTGAATCATTTTGTGACTTTAGTATAAGCCCAGAAAATTTGGGGATACTAGCTGAAACGGCAAATATGTTATTGGCTCCTTGTTAGTGACTTATTGTACAATTTTTCCAACACAAGTTCCATGATCCTTTGAACTTGACTGCACCGTACTGATGAAGACCAATAGTCAGAAAAACGTGTCGACCGTTACTTCTTTTTTACTTTTTTTTATTCGAAAAATGTCCACTATTACTACCTTGATACAATAATATTAGTTCCGTTCTAAGTAGGTACATATTATAGTTTGTATGTTTTATGCTTTATTTTATTATATGTAATAAATGATAGGAAATATACTTTTATAGTAAATAAATTGATTAAAGCAATATGTAAGAATAAGTTTATCTAAGGATTAAATTGTTATAGCAATTTTTCATATCCATTGTTTATTAATTTGTTTCATTTAATTCTTTCTTATTGAGTTAGTTATTTCATATAAATATGCGATACTTGTAAAATGTAATATTTTCTTTTAAATAGGTATATATTATGTTCGTATAAAATAATGTTCAGTTAATAAAAACAGAAATATTTTGTCTTTTATTCAAAAGAAGTTTGTAAATTTTTCAAAATATATTTACCTACCCCAAAAAAAGATTAATAAAACCAGTTAGTCATATACACATTTTCTATATATTTATAGAGGTACTTTTTAAATAACTTTCAATACATTCGAAATCTGTGGTTTTATTAAACTCAATGTAACAAATAATAATAGGTATTCTCAAAAATATTTAAAAATAAAATCGAGATGGGACTCTTGTATAATTTAGTGACTATTCGCCTATGGATAGTGCACTGCTGTATGTCCCTGGGTTTTCTACATTAGAACAATACTGCTTCTCCACTCTAGCAGTATTTTTTGCATCTCAGATTATATTTATTAAAAAACCAAGGAATTGTTTGGGCCTATTGCTGTGCCCTTTTCCAACATTCCCAAAGTTTTTTTTTACTTTCTGCTGATTAGATCTCCGATAGCGACAACTCCATTTCTTTTTCCACTAATTTTTTATCAAATTTTTAAAATAACTTCTATATATTTATCTTTTGCAATGACTTCGCTTACCTGCTTCATAATCTCTTCCCTATGCCCCAATTTCTCTAACAGGTGAGATCTTATACTCGCTCTATTAAATCAAATTATCATTATAGTTTATTTGAAAATGCTTGGTAGCACAGTTTTTATGGCAAAGGTCCATATTTTTATATAATTTTGCTATTATTCATTTTCAAATAAACTATAGGAATAGGAGTAATCTATTAGTTTTTCTAAAAATACCTTGTTACCGATGTAAGTATATCTTTCCCTAGTTAAAAAATTCGAGTTTTTATTTTCATAATATAAATAAATGACCGGTTAACAATCACATTCTTTTAAATAGTACATTTGACATTGAAGTAGGTATTTTCTCCAAACAGGAACAGATGGTTTACTTGTAGTTTGAATTATATTACATAAATCTCACTGAATTTCTCTATAATTCTCATAGCAATATGTAAACAAAAAACTTATCCAATAATATATATATAACTATGTAAAAATAACATTTCAAGAACGAGAAATTTTATAAAACCGGTCCTGTCTGAACAGATCTAGGAAAATCAAATAGGTTTGTCAAAGTTTTGTTCTTAATTTGAAATTAGAAATTCTGCGTCTCACTCACTTATAACTAATAACAAAGTGCAGATTATCGGTGTTCACGTATTACAGAACACACAAACTAAAAATCAGTGTAGCCAAAACATAAATTTACCTAACATGGCGACAAGCTTGAATGGGGTCATTTTTTTGTATTGATAGTATACGCCAAGCGGTATCTAGACTTTCTGAGGGCTATGATCAGAACACTGCGCAATTAAACATAGCAGTTTTATTTTGGTAAGAGGTTCTACGAAAAGAGAGTTTAGAATGGAAATTTGTAAAGAGTTTAGAAGCAAATTCTACTTTAAACCTAATAATTTGTGGAGATTTTTATAGAGATTTAAGTCTTTTTCATCTGACTGAGTTGATAGAAAAGATTGGAACAAAATGTATGCAAATGAGATAGAATATTTGTAAGGGTAATTTGTAACTGATGTACGTTGCACATTACTTTCATTATTGCAAATCCCAGAGATTTGAGATCTGTGATTGTATAGCTTAACACCAATTTTTTGAACAAGAGAGAGGGTGATAATAGACAATTGACTATCAGAATCAAGAAGTGCTCTAGCGATTATAGGACAAACAGTTTTTGGATATAAGCAAACTTGAGCAGTTGCCAATAGTATGTGAGCACCTTTTGTTGTTAGCGTTGATAACAATGACGTTTTCTGCAGAGTGACAGTGATTATTTGATTGAGAAAAGGTTGAGGGCATATTATGATCCAATATTTGCGAATGACGTTTGTGTGGGTGCAGAATTATTGGAAAATTGGTGGTCATATCAAGCTTGTATTTGATTTTTATAATTTGATTGCTGATCTTGAAATCTAAAATTTGTTCAATGCAAAAGAGAGTGGTGTTTCTTATGACATATAAAACAAGTTAAATGGGATGAAGAGTGCTTAATTGAATGTCACATACTTAGACAATTAATACAAATATTATTAGATTTAACAAAATTATATCTGTCAGGTATTGACAGCTTACTAAATTCTAGACAATTGTATATTAGGTTAGGTTAGGTTAGATTAGGTTAGGTTAGGATATGTTAGGTTAGGTTAGGTTAGGTTAGGTTAGGTTAGGTTAGGTTACGTTAGGTTAGGTTAGGTTAGGTTAGGTTAGGTTAGGTTAGGTTAGGTTAGGTTAGGTTAGGTTAGGTTAGGTTAGGTTAGGTTAGGTTAGGTTAGGTTAGGTTAGGTTAGGTTAGGTTAGGTTAGGTTAGGTTAGGTTAGGTTAGGTTAGGTTAGGTTAGGTTAGGTTAGGTTAGGTTAGGTTGTGTTAGGTTAGGGTATTCCAATAAGAATTTCAGGATATTTTTGTTTGCTACTTTTTTTGTCACAAACTTTTTATGTGGTATTTTTTTTTTTTGTTATATTCTGCAAACTAGTACAAGTTTAGCGATGGAGAGTTACAGAGTAGAACAAAGAGTTTACATTATTAAAACGTACTTTGAAAATCGGTCTTCTGTGATAGCTACATATCGCCGAATTAGAGATTATTTTGGCATACAAAATCAAACCTTAGAAAGAACCATTCGTAATATAGTGCGTAAATTCGAAACTACAGGTTCTTTGCAAGATATTAAAACAAAACAGCGTGAACGTCCAGCTCGCTCGGTTGATAATATTGAAGCTGTTCGTCAAAGTGTGGCTGACAATCCCCAAATGTCTATTGCAAGGTGTTTGCAGCAAGTGGGCATCAGCAAAACCTCAACATGGCGAATATTGAAAAAGGATTTGACTCTCCACCGTTACAAGATTCAGCTAATACAGGAGTTAAAGCCAGCAGACCATGGCCAACGCCGTGATTTTGCTAACTGGATCCTACAGAGGAAGGCAGATGATGATTATTTTTACAACAAAAGCGACGAGGCCCATTTTCATTTGAACAGTTACGTAAATAAGCAAAACAGTCGCATCTGGGGCAATGAAAATCCTAGACAAATCCATGAAAAGCCCATGCATGCTCAACGTGTCACGATTTAGTGTGGTTTTTGGGCTGGAGATATCATTGGACCTTTCTTTTTTGAAAATGAAACCGAACAAGCTGTTACGGTAAACGGGGAGCGATGATTAACGACTTAATATGGCATGAGGGGACATGTCATACAGCAAGAAAAACGATGGATTTATTTCGTACAAGATTTGAT